ATGCTAATTAAATTTTTTTATGTCAGTGCCCCTGAGCTATGCGGTATGTTCGCAGTTTTTAAGTATTCGTTTTGATGGTGGCTATTACTGTTTGGTACAAGTGACAGTGACAAAGCTCATCTTCCGTTCAGATTGGCAAATACATAAATTTCCTAGTTTTGACAAGTTGTGTATGTCAGATCCTCAAGTTTTTGCCACCGAAGTTGCCTAAAGATGTTTTGACATTCCCATACATCTCACCGTTGCCTTTGGCAGTCGCCTTTCTCTTTTCGAAAAATAGACCGTAATTGTAAAAAACGCTCATCATTCCTTCTTCAGTGCTTAATACGACGGTGACCTCCCTCCCTAGTTTGCCCCAAAGAGCTTATTGTCTCTTTCAACCTCGGTTATAATGAAGCATCGCTAATCATTTGTTAGTGACTGCGTGCTGTACGTGACGAGAAAGTCAAGGTTAGATTTACCAAAGCGTGTCTACGAAATATTTTAATATAAACAGAAACGGTCGCCATTTGTGCCTGTAGCCATCGCACTCTAGTAGTGTATTTGCGGTATTGAATGTTTTAATTGGTATGTTCGCTGTCTCCAAATCCTTGAATCATTTTTTTCTCACAGGTTATCAGCTAATGTTTTAGCACTTTTACAATGAAATCGGACACCTCGAGTTGTACGTGCGTTACTTGGCCAAATTGTTCCAGTTACATATGCAAAGTGAGAATTACACTGAGGCTGCATTGACTCTTTCGTTGCATGCGGACTGCCTTGAGGTGAGTCATTATCTAATTTTCTTTTTCGTTGCTGTTTTCGCTTCTTACGTGTTGACTAGTGACAAATAAATCAAAATCTTGTATTTATGTCAGTTCTCCCTTTCTTTCAGACAAATGGAACAACTATTTCATCTTATTTATACACTTTGAATAAACGTAGCTTTAGGCGCGACAGATCCTTCGTTACAGATGTGGCCCCAACAGAAAACCGGACTATCATAACGTCAGATGACAGTGACAATCAGCATCGAGAGTATCACAAGATTCAGGGCAAAATTACTTTCAAGTATGTCAACATGCGTAGCACTCCCCCTTGTTTCTACTCTAATCTAGGAAAATCAGTTAGTACCCCGCTTGCAATTAAATGGTGTAAGTCTCAGAGAATACTGACAAATGGGAATAAATACGCACTCTTGAATATAGTTTAATGTGTTATTGTTTTATACATGCTTTTGTTATCATTTATACATCAGTTATTCAGAGAGAACCCAAAATCTGAATTTCAGCAACTAAATCATTCCGTTTCTAGCTTATATATCATTTGGCTATTTTCGTAAATGTTGTTCATTTAGTGGTCTGATTCACCTTTGGATCCGGTTTTGAAGCATCAGCTGTTTCCTAATTGTAAAACTGGGCGAGAATTAAAAGAAGCTGTTATCCATAAGATTATCGATTTGTTGGACAAAGGTGAACTATGGGAAAAGGCGATTGGTTTCGTCCAGGAGCTCCAGCAAGAATATGAACGTAATACATTCGAATATGACAAGCTAAGTTCACTTCTGGTAAGAAATGTCTCTCTTTACGTGTTTATTTTTTCTTTTTTGTCGTCATCGTCGTATAAAGCTAATCAAGCTTGAATAGCTCTGTTAACCGGTGATATCTTACCATTTAAAATTATGTCCCTGTTATTTATTAGGCATCGTTCGCTGTTGAGATAAAATTGATATTCTTTGCCTGAAATAGTTGTGCCTCAATGAAGTATTTCCAAGTTTTGTATTGTCATCATGCGTTGCTGATATTGTAGAGAGTAGTCAGTGTAGGCTATGTTCGGTTCATGTTATCGAACAGATTTCGGTGGATGGGTTTCGATTCTTTCTGGGTCGTTTTATCAACCATAAGGCACACTTTTCAGAATTTTTAGAAGTTTTCCAACGTCGCTGGTTGTCAGCACCTTTTCGTTTAGTTTTTAATCACAGTTTAGCGAGATTTTACATGCAGCGTGTTTTAAAACGCCCAGTCGAACTTTTGACTGATCTTTACAGGCATTCCATATTATATTTTCTGGCAATGCCTTTGAGACAGCCATTGCTGTGAGAGCAGTTACTTGTGTATAATATTCTGACTTGCCATTAACCTTCTGTGTATATACGTTTCATGGACCTGTTTAATGTTAGGGTATCGGATGCACTTGCCCTGATAGCAGCAGTTGTTGTACTGGCTAATTGAATAGACTTGAATTGTTTACATTTAGAAGCAGAAGTTTTTAGAATATATGTAGGCACCACGAGGCGGCTGTTTTCTAAAGATGGTCACCATCGTTGCTGCTTCCATTGCCTTTTCATATTTCATAAATCTTTCTGAAATCTGTTTATGTTAGTCCATTGCGCCAGTTACCTTTAGGACGAATTTTTTGACCGGTTTCACTTTGCTGCAACCCTGTTTTTCAGATCACACTTAAAATTTCTTTTTATCTTATTGAGAATTCATGGAACAAACTGATTGAAACGAGTGAGTTGTCTGTAAGACCGATTGTTTCATTTTAGGACAAAATGAGTCGAATGTACCGCAATATTTTGAAACACCAAAGAGCGGAGCCAGAGTACTTCAGAGTAGCGTTCTACGGTCGAGGCTTTCCAAATTTCTTGCAAGTACGAAGTTTTGAGCTTGGCTGATTATGAAAGCGCGATTTCTTTTCAGAATCTTACATTTGTGTATCGCGGGAGTCCGTATGAACGTCTGGCCGATTTTACAAGTCGCATACAGGCGCAGTACCCCTCTGCAATTGCAAGTTTTTAACTGTCGATTAATGCATAAATAGTAACCACTAAGTGGTACTTTCTTTTCAGTTGATGAACTCGTTAAATCCACCAACCTCAGATATTTTGGAATCGAGCAAGCAGTATTTACAGATCAACAAAGTTGACCCTGTCTATGATGAACAGTTGAGGCGTTTTCGAAAACGATGTGTGGATAACCACATTTTATGGTACTTCCATCGATTGGTTAAATTTTGTCGTCTTTCTGTCTCCTGATATTTCACATTTCATTAATTGAAACTGTCATATTTGTTTTAATCTTTTATCAATATTTGCCTTAAACTGTCCACTTCAGTGACTTTCAGATTTTCCATGTTGACTTTTTATTTGTAGTTGAGAACTACATCTTTCATGCTTTCACAACTGGTTACAAATATGAGGATGTATCCATTGGTAACAAATAGTTATAAAAATAATTTATCGTATGACTTTTATATTAGCGAAACAGTTTTTAATTTTTAAGTCATAAAGTGATCACTTATAGCAGGATTTTAATTTGTAACCTCGGATAGGGATGATGACCTTAGCAAGGTCTCCCGTGAGCCACCAACTCCTCCTGTTATCTAAAGTTATAGCTGTTCGGTCGTCGCCCGGCTTTTAAAGCCCGCACAAACTGTTAATTAACTGAAATCAGAGTCTGCTTCTCGTCTTCTGGTAACCGCGCTGCCAACGATCGACAAGAAACTGATAAACAGACCATTTAGCAACGAAAGCGCTATCCGTTCTGAACGAAAGATGTAGAGGCGATGCCATTATTGCATATTGATAGTGTTTCACGATAACGATACCGAAAGCGGGAGTTCACAGTCGGATATTGGAACATCTCGTTTCCTCTCATATCAGTCTGCTTTCCATTAGAAGCGATCATGGTAGAAACAAACAACATCAAGTGAGACTGCTATTATCTTCGCAGGTTGAAGCAGCTTGCATCTTCTTTTCCACGTGTATCATACCAATAGTAACTCATTCCAGCCCAGTGATATTGTCTTCTAGAATGAAGAAAGACTTCCGGGTTTACTTTGCCGAGCTGCGATGCTAGCTGTTGGACCTATTGGAAATCTCGGAAGCAGTTTTTTCCTCATTTCAAGAAGCACACTCGTTTCAAATCTTAATATGCTGACTTAGGATGATCGTGTATTACACTCGAAGCTTCGTCTCCCAGTATTCAATGCATCATCTGATTCGTAGCCAGTTCAAAACCCTACCAGTCCGGCGAAAGCTCTGTCATCAGTCAGTTTTGTAGCTTCTCGTAAAGATCTTGATAAGGCCAAAAATGCAGAAACTGCTTTCATCATTTGCCGTTTGCAGTCTCTCTATACACAGCGTGATTTTATGAAGAACTGTTTTGTAACGATAACGCTTATACTGATCATACCGCTCTTATATGAGGTAATATATCTGGCTTGATTTGAAACATTGCACGGTTTATTTCGTATCAAAAATTTCTAGCTATAATATCTTTTAAGTAATTAATGAAAAAATACGGTATGCCATGATTTCAGGTATTACAAATACAACGAAGTACAGAAGTTCAGTTTCTCTCGTCGGATAACCAAATCCAGCCAAGATACGGACAGCGTGAGAGATGACATGTTGAATGAATTCGGCTTGATGTGGCTTGAACGAACGTTTCTTGTCACCAGCTATCGTTTTCCTGGTATTCTCGAATGGTTTCCTGCCGCATCTGAAAGTCGAGTAAGTTGATTTCAGTTTGTTTGCCCTGAAGTGGGAAACCAACCAAAGCAAAAATTTGCAGTCATGGAAAATTATTCATTATCGTCGACGAGCTTCGGGATAAAAATCGACATAACTGAATTGAACACGTCCAGCTTAGTCTGCAGACTCAAAATTAGTATAGTTACAACGGCTCCAGATGGTTCAGCAGAGAACCACTGGCCATTCCAATTCGCCAGTCTATCTCTTGCTTTCATTTGCCCTTTTCTTTAAGCACTACCCAGAGACACGTTAATTTATGCCTCTCTTTCACTGCTGCTCTGCTTATCTACGGAGTGCATCGAGCCGTTAGACTTTTCATTTTATACGTTTGCACGCATGCTGTCGAGGCCCACTTGGCTGAGAGCGCTGTAGATCAGTTTCAGAAGATGCGAAAAAAACAAGGTCGTCCACTAGCAGCAACTTTCTCGACTCGACTTCTACATCGATACACTCATCGTTTTGGCTGCTTTTGGCTGTTCTATCCATGTAAAGCATAGACTGGAGAGGGGCAGAACTCAGCTTTGGCGGAGAGTAGTGCCAATGCTGAAAGGTTTACTCTGACACAGCATCTGCTATCAGTTAATAGTGGCTGGATGACCCGTAGCAACTGGCCATCGATCCCATATGTTCACAGACATGCCCACAGATTTTTGCGCGGCATCCGGTGATAGGCTTTCTCTAGGTCCACAACGCACATATTCACCGGAGGAGCGAATTCGTTTAGTTTCTTAGCAGTCTCATAGAGAGCGAATATCTGTTAAGATATGCTTCGTCCACACCGGAAGCCACGTTGCTGTTGTATTTTGGACCAGTTATTTCACCTTTCTAGCAATTTTGCCCTGATTAAGGTAATGCCCTGATAAGCTGTAGCACTTCTTATGGTCTCCCTTCTTGAACATGCAACCCTTTTCTCCGGTCCACTGGTGTCTAAGCACAACGTGCTGCCTTGTATGCATTTCAGGGGGAGTTTAATCGATTCCATCTGCCTTGCCATTTTTTAAGCTTTTACAGCTTCTGTTATTTCATCTGCTTAAAGGTTATTATCCGTTGCCTATTGTTTTTCAGGTTAGTCATCTTGCTGTTACTCAGTGTTAGTGAGTTCCTCAAAGTACTCCTCCATTGCCAAAGTATATCCTCAGCTTTTTAAAAGGATGTTTGGAATTGTCGTTGACGACTCTTAGACGTCCTTCTTTTTGTCTCTGAGGCAGGGGTTGATCTATCCGCATTCCTCGTTTGCAGTTTTAAAATTGACTCCAGCCTTCACCTAATGTTTCTAAAGAATGAACAGTCGCTTTAGCCACTGCTTTGCGGCTGCTTGCACATTTTTTCATTACAATTTGGAAGTTTTGCCCTTGTATCTGCATAAGATAATATTTCCCATTTAATTCTGTCGTTGTTTTATCTGTAAGATCTGCACATGGCCATGGTACTCCAGTCTTTATAGCGGATGACGCTAACAAGATTGGATAAACGCTTGACAGCTTTACTTCTCTCTAAACACTGAAAACTGTTACAGGGTAAGACAGGTACAGGGTGGTAAGACGGTCGATACGATTCACAAATCGATCATCGATTTTGTACATGAGTTTCCCTCTACCAGGTATGCAGATCTACGTTTGATACTCGAATAACAGACAGTCCGTTGTTTAGTGCAGTGGCTTCATGCCATTATTGTTGAAGTCGCTGGGATCGTCCTTTTCTAAGTCTTTCCACTTTTCAATGATTGCACCGACATGCACATGAAACCTGCCAATTAGAATGATGATTTCTGAAGTCGGCAGGTAGTTTAGAATAGTTAGAGTACCTTCTGTTTTTTCCACTTAGTGCTCATATTTTACTTCCGGATTGACCGCATGGGCCTCTAGCTTTTTCAGAGATTTGGCCTGTTGTAACTTCTGTCAGATGATTTCCACTCTCTCCCTGCAGTCTTACATTCAACAGTTCTTTAGGCCAGGTTTTGTTCTGCCAGAACACCAGCCCGGGAGCTTATCCTGAAGTTGACGCCTGAGTGATCTTCAGAATTTCAAATTATCGGAACTGGCTTTGTTGACGACAGTCTAACTTCCGGCTTCGTCAACTAGTTTTTCTTTTCTTCTGAGTGAGAAGATGTTCTAATTTCTGACTGTCAGCTTCTACTTTCAATATCGTTATCGTGGAACCTTGACTGCTGTGCTACACTGGCATTACCCTCTGTGCCTCCTTAGCTTTTGGTCGCTGACTTTCATCAGTCATCTTGAATTCTTGAACAGCCTGCTTTCCCTTGGTAATGCGGGCGACTACCAAGCCTGCATAGCGTTCATTTAAATAGTTCCACGAGGGACAGATTGCTCAGTTTTACTAATAATCTCGCACGGTTCCCAACCTTGATCCTTTCTCTTTCGGGCTCGTAACCTGCACCCGAGGAGATGCAGTCACAGCTTTCTTTAGTATTATCCCTACTCTGTTAGCTCATGTTTTTAAAATGTTAAAATATTTCATTGCGCGAATATAAAAGAATTAATGCTACGATTGTTTTATCTGATACTTCGCATGTTTCTTGCCCATATTTGTATATATGCCAGAAACAGTAAAAGAGAATTGCAATGGCTATCTAATAATAAGCGTAAAATTGCAATTGTTGACGATCCTCAAATGGCCAAATGAATCAGTTGATCTGAGATATTTAACTTGAATAAGGCAAAAAGTTGAAATTGGCTAGAACCAGCTATCAATAGTCAGTTTTTCCCAGTATATCTGTGAAATACAGAACAGAATATGATTGAATAGTTTTCAGTCAGATAAATATATAATTATTGTTTTGTATGCTAGCTTATAGTTGTAATTCATTTGGTTCCCAACGTTTCTGCACTATTTCGTGACGGTCCTATTCTAGACCGAAATGAGTCCATCTGCAGTTGCTGTCGAATCGATGACTGCCGCCAATGATCAGTTGGAGCGACTAATCGAGGATACAGAGCGATTTGGAGAAAAATCGATGAAACCCCTTGCTGCAAAGCTACAAGGAATGCTTAACCCTGCTGTAATGGGTGGAATTACGAACTATGAGCAGGTTTGTCTTCGGTCAAGGTGTTTATATTTCGTCTAGGATATACTTAGACACTACTGTCTGAAGGTTCACAAGCGAGTTTTTTTGTTAGGAATCAATGTAATTTGGTACCTTTTTTGTTGATTGCTGTTCCTGATATCATTGTAGTTACATCCAGACAGGTTGTTTTAATCCCTCCTAAATGAGACCATTATTGGCGGCTGATTGTTTTACGGCTAAATGCATATTTTGTTCTTCTTGTTATTGTCAACCACTTTTAATGCATTTAAATTTATTTCCATTCAACTTTTTTTGTTGATAGGCGTTTTTCAATGAAGAGTTTTATTCGAAGGCCGATCAGACTACAAAGGAGAACATCAATATCTTAAAGGACCGCATATCTAGTCAGGTAGGATTATCTCTGCGACAGTTTTTAGGA